AAGCAAAATATAACCAAAGACACTGAAATAGAGGAAAGGCTGACAGTGACCACATGGGAGAGAAGAGGGAACTTCAGGGGCCATTGGGAAGGGTTCACAGGAACACACTTAAAGGACACAATGACAAAAACTAGGTGGAGGGTGGTAATGGGAGGGAAGTGGGGAGGGTTGGTGGATTGGGAGTAAAAGGGAGAAAACTGTATTTGAACAATGATTAAAATAAAATTAAAGGAAAAGAATGCAAGGGCAGATAAAGTGCTTCTCAGATAAGGTCAAGTTAAAGGAGTTCATCATCACCAAACCCTTATATGAAATGTTAAAGGGACTTATCTAAGAAAGAAGATAAAGAATATGAACAGTAAAATGACAACAAACTCAACTATCAACAACTAATCTTGAAAAGAAAACAAAAACGAAAGCAAACTAAGCATACAATTAGAACAAGAACAGAATCACAGAAATAGATATCACATGGAGGGTTGTGAGTAGGGAGGGAGAGAAATGGGGGAAAAGCTACAAGGAGTAAGAAGCATAAATAGTAGGTAGAATATAGACAGGGGGAGGTTAAGAGTAGTATAGGAAATGGAGAAGCCAAAAGACTTATATGTATGACCCATGGACATTAACTAAGGAGGGGGGTGATGTGGGTGGGAGGAGCTGTGCAGGGTAGAGGGGAATAAGGAGGGAAATGTGGCAACTGTAATAGCACAATCAATAAAATATATTAAAAGAGAATTTCAATCAACTCTGCCTCATAGATAAAACTACAAAGATCCTGAATGTCTATAAATATGGGAGTGGAAGTGTGTGTATCGTCCTTATTTTAAAGAAAATATTTAGACTGATTTAGAGTAAAATTCACAAAGCACATTTCTTGAGGCAAGGATAAAGCTGACATTGTCTTTCTGCATTTTCTGTATTCTCTAATTTTACTGAGGGTTTTTTTCTGACATCTTAGGAGCTTGCTTAGCTCAGGCTTGATGCAGTTCAGAAGTGCCAGTGATTTTAACAGCTCCAGAGTAATATCCATTAATAAAGAACCTGCATCTGTGGATAAATATTTCAGATTTGCATCAGTAATTAAGGTAGTTCCAAGGACATTCTGCATGGTTCCTTAGATTTAACAGAGTCACCAGCAAAATTGGGTCAGTTACCTTTTGGACATATCTATCACTGGTGTATTTCTAACAAATGTATTCATCCTAATATTAACATAATTTAATATATGTTATATATGATTTTCAATGGTTTTATATATTTTTATCTAAACATTTAGTGTCTGTGTGTAAGTGTATAACAAGGATAATACAGTTCACTATTTTTCCAAACAGATAACCAATTATCCCAGCACTATTTTTTCAGATATATAATGTTTCTCCACTGATTCAAAAATTTTCAATCAGATTACTAATATTTCTCCATACTTGAGTTTTACAATCAGTTTTTTTCTGTTTTATTTTTTCTATATTATTATGGCATAATATTTTTTAATATTGTAGCTTCACAATGCTTTTTATCTGTCAGTATAACTTTCCTAAATCACTGTTATGAATTATTTGGAAAACTCTAGTGCTGCTTTAATTTAAAGGCCACGTTAGAGTCTTGCTAAATTTGCACTAATATAAATTAGAGGAGACCATAAATTTGTCACAGGCTCTCAATATCTTAAATTCCAGTAGCAAGACTCTATTAGACATGTCCCTCACCTCATAGAAAGACCACACAGAGACCCTTCAAAAGAGGAAACCCAAGCTTAGGGTTATATTTCAAAGTCCTTAAAAGGGGTAGGGGGTGCTGTCTGAGGGGTCTATGTTTATGGGATGTTTCAGCAGCCCATAAAGATTGCCAAGGTTTTACAACTAAAATCATATTTTTCAACTGAAAATAATAGCATTGTCTAGTTATAACAACCAAAAGATGAATACATGTCAATGAAAGACAAAAACAATAATTCCTTTAAAAAGTAAATAAACAAAAACCCTGGCCAGGTAGCTCAGTTAGTTAGAGCATCATTTAATAAGTTGGGGATTTCTCCTCAGGTCAGAACACATACAAGAATCAACCAATGAATGCATAATAAATAAGTCTAATAAAAAGTTGCTGTTTCTCTCTCTGTGCCCCCCTTCCTCTCTAAAATAAATTGATTTTTTTAAAACAATGGAATTCTATGCAGCAGAGAGAAAGAAGGAGCTTATACCCTTTGCAACAGCATGGATGGAACTGGAGAGCATTATGCTAAGTGAAGATAATCCAGGCAGTGAGGGACAAATACCATATGATTTCACCTATAACTGGAACCTAATCAACAAAAGAAAAAAGCAAACAAAATACAACCAGAGTCACTGAAATTAAGAACAATCTAACAATAGCCAGAGGGGAGGGGTGAGGGGACAGTGGGATGAAGGGTTTTCAGGAACTACTATAAAGGACACATGGACAAAACCAAGGGGAAGAGGGGAAGCAAGGGAAGAAGGTGGGTTTGGCTGGGGTGGGGAAAGTGGTGGGGAGAAAATACAGACAACTGTAATTAAACAACAATAAAATAATTTAAATTTTAAAAATAAATAAACAACAACAAAAAAAAAACCAGAAAGGGAACTAATCAAGGTGAAAGGGTTTTTTGTGGTTGTTTTTTTATGTCACTTTCTGCTTATTTTACAGACTTACTGGAGCTCACATCCCTTCTCTGCTCATTTAATTCTGGGACAAGACCAACGAGTCTGCTAAGAGAAATTCTGGCCTTTGCTTCCTGGTGAGTGGAGGGGCAAGAAGTTGGATTTTAATGGTATAGAAGAGAAAGAAGAAATTCTTTTAAAGCTGCAGCAGAAATCAGGAAAAAGGGCAAAATACAAAGTATTATGGTCCATTTGTTCTCCAAGATTGCTAAGTAGGGGGAAGAATAATAAGGGATGTGCAGTAGCGGGTGGTAAGGATGGGGGCAAGGTGACGAAAGAGGAAAGGTGACTCTGCCATGCTTCTGGAAGTCACCCTCCTGCTGGACTGCCCTAGTGATCCGTAATTCAGAGCCTGAGCTCACAGTAATGCAACTTTTTTGAGACTTGTAACTGATGCAAAGATTAGTCTCTAGTTGCAGTGTGAGCGTCATTTGTAGCTGTGCACCTGCTGTCTATTTCCTTGAAAGTTAGCCTGTAGCCAAGGAAGGGGGAAGTCCTAGAAACTGACTGCATCCATTGCAGGTTGGTGGATGCTGACTGAGGTAGGAGTGGCAGAGGGCAAAACCCAGATTGAGTCCAAGATTTGAGAGGGGTCTCCCGATGCCCACCTACTTGGTGCAAGAAATGGACAAGGAGATAGAGAGGGGCAAAGAGTTGAGATTGTGTACCAGTTCAGATCTACTAGGAGGTGGGCGATTGGGCAACATCTGCAAGGAAGAACCAGAGAAGAGTATGGGGAGGAATCAGCCTAATACCTGTGGGGCGACAGGAGGGGAACACAACCGTTGAATCAGGTTTGGGATGACATGGGTTCCACAAGAGGTCTAGACCTCCGTTTCTAGTATCTCTTCACCCTTCATCCATTTTGGAGTTAGATATTGTTGGCTGCTGGAATGGCACTGGGGTGCCAGTTGCTGCAGAACATAGGGAAAGGCCTGACAAACAGGTCTCGTCTGCAGAAGAGGCAATTGAGTAGACAGGCTTCTAACTGAGAGATACAGGCAGAGAGCAAGAAAATGTTTTTGGTCTCCACAGGTTGGTGTAATCTTGGACACTGCCTGTGGACTATGGGGTAGGCATGGCAATGTACTGAAACCCCAGCAGGTCCAGGTTTGCAATGCCCACACTACCTCTTCTCCCTTTGTCCATCTTGATACATAAAATAATGGTTAATGGAAGGAGAGTGGGCTCAAGAAAGGCCATTGGGTCCCAAAAGGCCCTAGCAAATACCCAGATCAAAATTATTTATAAATAAACCACATTGACATCCAGTAAGCTCTTGTGACTACCACCCCAAAAGTTGTCCACTTACATTCAATAAATGGTAATTGGGTGGTGGGAGGGATGGGATAGTGGGGTGAGGGGCATAAAGAAGAGGTGAAACAGGTTTGGAAATAATCATCTTTGATTACAATGTCTATTTCCTTTTTAAAATATTTTTTATTTTTAGAGAGAGGAGAAGGGAGGGAGAAAGAGAGGGAGAGAAACATTGATGTGATGTGTGAGAGATGTATCCATCGGTTGCCTCTCACCCGCCCACAACCAGAGACCTGGCCCCCAATCCAGCCATGTATCCCAGCTGGGAATCAAACCATGGACCTTTCAGTTTGCAAGCTGGCACTCAATCCACTGAGCCACACAAGTCAGAGCTGGATGCCTATTTCTGAAAGGCAGGCTAGTGCATCACAGGATAGGAAATGAAGCAGTGATACCAGATGGAGGACAAAGAGATGGTGGCAATATTTGACTAGCAGAATCCTAAATAAACAGTGGAGATACCCTCCTGCCCCCTTACTGGTCCTTTAATCAAGTAATCAGCCCTGGCCATTGCCATATTTCTGTCTGCAGAACTTTAGGTTCTTTGGTGCAGCAGATTTCAAGGGCAAGAGAGGAAAGCTGCTTCTGATCCCTGCAGGTAGGGGAGTGCCTGGGACCCTAAGGTGTAGGGGTATCAGGAATTATAACTGAATCTGGAAGACTCACAGACTTCCCTGCCTGAGTTAAGTGCAGGACAAACTTGGCCAAGTCTTTAGAGACTGTGGTTCTGTGGCTGATGAGGGATGAAAAGTATAGATGGCCAAACTCTTGGACACCCCTAGAGGGCTTATCAAGAACCCTGGTCTCTCAACTTGTCCTGCATTTTTGTGTGTGGAGTGGCCAAGGAAAGGATTTTCAGAGGCAATGGTGGCTTTTGGGGCAGGGCTTGGTCTGGGGCACCACCCCAAGAGTGCCCTCGAAGTCTCTCAGATGGCAAAACTTTTGCCTATAGGGCTATGAATCCAGTGGTTACAACTTCAATCCCTCTTCTTGCCTTTTATCTCCTAGAAAGAATCAGAAAAAACCACTCAACACAGAAAATGTCTCCAAGGAATGCAGAGGAGGGAAGCAAGCTCCAGTGCAGAATGAAGAAGCCTGCCCTTTGGAAGGTGGGGAAGGCCAGGAGCCTAGAGGAAATATTAGAGGGGTTTGGGCTTCACCTGCTAAGGATTTTAGAAAGGATATGTCCAATAGGCTTGTCAATAGCATTGACATGATCAATGGGAATGCAAATAATATGGAACAGTTCATGGAAGAGATGAGAGAACTAAGGAGGAAAATTAGAGAGCTTCAGTTGTAGTACAGTCTGCACATTCTTATAGCAGAGCCCTCTCACCATGATCATCATGATGAATTTTGTCTTATTCCCTGAATGCTGAGATTAATAATCATAAACCCCATATTTCCCAAGCTTGCATTTTCATGATGTACCCATTATGGTGAAACTTGGGTGTTCTTTTATTTTTCTGATTGGAAATTTCATTTTGACTTAGTCCTGTAACTTTTTCTGTCAGCATGGGAGATTCATCAATTTGTGTGGAAATAAAGCAGTTTATAGATATACTATCTCATTTTAAAACATGCATATTTTATGCACATCAGAATGTGTTTATTCTTATTTTCTTATCTAGTTTTTTTTTAAATAAATAAAAAAACTATGGTACATTTACACAATGGAATTCTATGCAGCAGAAAGAACGAAGGAGCTCCTCCCCTTTGTGACAGCATGGATGGAACTGGAAAGCATTATGCTAAGTGAAATAAGCCAGGCGGTGAAAGACAAACACCATATGATCTCACCTTTAACAGGAACCTGATCAACAAAACAAACAAACAAGGAAAATATAACCAAAGACACTGAAATCGAGAAAAGACTGACAGTGACCAGAGGGGAGAGGGGAGGGAATTTCAGGGGAAAAGGGGAAGGGTTTGCAGGAACAAGTATAAAGGACACATGGACAATAACAAGCAGGGGTGGAAACAGGAGAGAGGTGGGGAGGGCTGAGGGGGTAGGCTGGGATGGGGGTAAAAGGCAGAAAACTGTACTTGAACAACAATTAAAATAAAAAAATTAAAATGAATACACATGTATTACATGTAGCATTTAAAAAGTAAGAAGCAAAGGACTTTCCAATCAGCTTATAAAAGGAATGGATACAATACTTGAGGCAGAATTTGAAGGCAATATCTTATATTACTTCTGTATCTCTTATTTAGAAGCACAAGCCTGGTAATTATTACAAATACATTTCTTTAAAGTCAGCCTATTTATCTATAAAATGAAGATAATACCTGTCTTATAGGGCTGCTGCTGGAATCAATAAAGTAATGACTGAACTGTGTTTGGCTGGTTCTATCCACACATGCGAGGCCCCAACCCTCTAAATGTCTTTTATTTTAGGGAAGAGTCCAAGGACTATGCTCATCAGCAAGAGCAATTGAGTGCCAGGTGGGTGACACATTTGTATACCTATGCTGCTAGATAATGCCATGGCTGCTAGGTACCCCTTCCCCTTCTTGATTTTGCTTCTTCCACTGGTTCCATCCACTGTTGATGTGCTAGAGTGCTAAAGGTGAAAAAGATTCATTAATTTCTCTGAAACCATCAGAGGTTTTAATCCCCATTTTTGCCTTTCAGAAATGTGGAGAATGCCCCCTTCCTGCTATAGAGTTATATGTAATCCAGATGTGTACTTTCCCAGTGCTGTTTAGGAATCCACACAGTCCTTTATAGTTTTTCTTAGACTTTTTTTTTCTCACCCCTAATCCCTAGACAAATCTGAATGGCACTCATGCTAGTATTCTCAGAATTGGACTATCTCTTTTATCTTTTGATGAATATAGCCCAGTTTCCTTGACCCCCCATTTCTTGTGCTACAGGTTTTATTCTGAGCAGACACAGGTGTTGTGATGGTGGCTTTATGTCCCCAAGACTGTTCTGAGCCACACCACTTGCACCCCAGGAATTTTCAGTAGTCTCTACTCACACTAGACTACATAGATTCAGAGTAGTTTCCTTCTTTTGCTTTTATTTTTGCTGTGCCCAATAAACCTGTAATCACAGATCAATGAGAAATTGGCTGGAACTGGAGACCTGGTAGATAGACCATTGTTTTAGAACATTTTTCACCATCCAGTCATTACTGCCCCCCAATTAGATTGTGCCCTTCTCTCAGTAAATATATTGGCTCATTTATCCTGGTACCCTCAGTATCTAGTACAGGGCCTGATAAGTAGTAGGTCACAATAGTTAATTATAGCTGAGTCAAGGGTCCTGAAATACAGGCCCAGGTTTGTATCTGATCATTTATGGGTAAGTAATATCTTTTCCCTATATACTGTAGATTGTAATTGAAAAAATAATACAACAGAGAAAGCATTATGCATTGATTTCAACACATGAACTTACTGTAATGTTATGTATATATCAGTATATATCAACATGTGCTATACAGACCACCTACATCAGAATAACCTGAAAAATTGGCTAAAAATTTAGGAAGCTAGATTTTACTCCATACTCATTGCATCCTACATGTTCATCAGACATCCTTGGACTTAGATAAATTAAAATGAAGGCCCCAGCTTTAACTCAAGGTTCATACACAGCTCTGCATCATATATATATATATACACATATATATGCTTTTATATATAATAAATATAAATTGTACACTTAACATATATTTATATATGCATATATATACACTTTTAAGTGCCTTAATTAACTGATATACATCAGGATTTTTTTTCCCCACTAGACTGCCTTTTTTAAAGAGACAACTGTCTTATTTTCTGCTTTTATCTTTAGTGCATAGGTTCTCAATCTTGGCCCTTGGCTGTAGGTTTGAATTATTTGAGATTCTAAAGTACAGCTCAGAATCTAGTCCAAACCAATTGGATCAGACTCATTAGAAGTAAGACCTAGGGATCATGGCATTGTAAAAGCTTTCACAGTGATTCTGATGTACATGTACAGTTGGGTATAAATTGTGACTAAAATATCTATGGTCTATTTTCTCTGCACAGTTTCTGATTGACTGTGTGACCCTAACCAAGTCATTTCATTTGTCGAGATTACACACTGTCTGTCCAGAAAGTATCTATCCATGTACTATGAAAAATAGAAACATTTATTGAAGAAGATACAAGACACAAGAAACATTGTACATAAAACAATGATACTTCAGTCCCCTTTAAAGTAGGCACCTTGGGACTTACAGGGTAAATGGAGGCAGTATGGCTTCTTCATCCAGGTATCTGGGTAACTAAGGGAAGCAGTTTCCCATAACCTTGACAATGGGCCTGATAAGTAGTGTTCTCATAGTCTTGAGCCTGGGTCCAATAAACTGTGCCCATAGCCTTGAGGGAGCTCACATGCACAGTATGAAGCTCTGTTGTATAAGATCTGTTGGCACCCTTCTGGCTTAGTTGGCCTCTAGTACTTAAGCAGGTAGGAACTCCCTGATGGGTGCCACAACATGTGCCATGCTGCAGAGCAAGTGCCACACTGAGTATCATGCAGAGGGGACAGGTGACATGCAAAGACTTGCAGAGACATGCAGGGGGACACACAGCTTGCAGAGTGGGTGGCTTTCCCACAAGTGAATAAAGACATGTCAAGCATCCTCACAGCTCTGCACATTTTCTTCCATCTGTCTGAATACCGTCAACCTGTAAGACCTTGAATGGCCTTAACACAGGACCTCACACAGTTCTCCCAGCATCTCTTCCATTGTTTAAATCACTATGCAAAATCCATTTTTGGAATCTCCATCAGCTGTCCTATTGTATTTTCCTGAATCTCATTGACAGTCTGAAATTTCTTCCCTTTCAAAGATGATTTTAGTGTTGGCAAAATCCAGAATTTGCAGGGCACCAATTCTGGGCTGTAGGAGAATTGAGTCACCTAGATGATTTGATGTTTTGCAAAAAACCTGCATGAGACGTGATGCATAAGCAGGCACGTTGTCGTGATGAAGCCACCAATCACCAGTTGCCTGCTGTAACCAGCATGGAGATGAGGTCCCTGAGTGGGGGCAACAGGAGATTAAGAAAGACAAAACACAACAGTTTAAGGAAAAGCTGTGGCCAAGTTGGACATTGTCCTCTGATGGAGAGAAAATGACCCTGAACATGGTCTTCATGTTTATTTTATAGGGGTTGGTTACATAGAGCTCAAGGACATTTTGCAAACTTAGGGAGATGCTGCAGGCACAGATGGTTCAGTTTCCCAGCTATTTAAATGATACATATTCTGAAAAAGTTACAGTTGCATTCAGTTGAAGCTTGAACTTATCTATTCCCTTCTCAACCCCTGAGGGTTCTGGCTGTTGTCAATGCCAGCTTGGATCTGCTTTGCAGATGCAAGCAGTCAAGTGCAGCCTTGCCAAGCACTCAGCCTTAGCTTTGACACCAGCCTTCACCGTCCTCCACAGTTGCCCACAGTTGCAGCCTTCTGAATGATCTAAATATTTTCTGCTGAGGAATGTTCAAGTTTAACACAAAATATGATGCATATTCGTTGTTCTACTCACTCAGTCAGTTTGAATGTGACAACAACACAGTACACACCCTCACTCAATGGCGTCTACTTTCCCCACCAACTAGTACAATGCAAGCATCATTGTTCAGTCCACTTTCCTTGGCTGCCAGGTTACATCAATGTCACACAAACCATTCTCATTACATTAACAATGGTGGACTTTTTCCAGACAGATCTCATATATCTTAATAAAATGTATTTCCACAACTGAAGACCATTTAATGCCTTTCACTCTTTCATTCCAATGTGAGTAATAGATAAACAATAAAATGAATAGATATCACATTTGCCTTTCCTATTTATACCTTGTTTTGGAGAGTCTGTCTTTGGCATTTTGAGGTTTATTAAGTAACTAAGGAGTGTTTATCTGCTTATCTCAGGGAAGGTGAAAATAGGCATAAATACTCATTTGCTACAGAGCCTGCCACTCACTATTAGTACTGATTTACTATGACTGCTGTAAGAATATTATCACAACTAAAATTTATTTTCTCATAGTTCTGGAGACCAGAAATCAGAAATCAACATGTGAGCAGGCCCATGCTCCCACTGGAAGCTTTACAGAGACTATGTTCAGCAGTGTAACCCCTATCAAAGCTACAATAACAAACAGTGTGTTACTGGAATAAAGATAGACATATAGACTAATGGAATATTATAGACAGCCCAGAAGTAAACTCACAGGTATACCGTCCAATGATTTTCAGCAAGGGTACCAAGACCATTCAATAGGGAAAGCACAGTCTTTTCAATGAATAATGCTGGGGAAATTGGATATCTGCATGCAGAAGAATGAGGTTGGAGCCTTACCTTACATCATATGAAAA